CCGAGTCGAACCGGGCGAGTCCGGTTCGACTCGGCGTTTTTTAAAACGCTGGTCCACATTATTAAAAGGAAAAATACATGAGATTTTATTTTTGGTACAAGGTTGTCACAATTAATCTTGACCGTTGGATGTGAGATTAGGTGGATCAAACTTAAACTTCGAAATAAATTTTCTTGAACTTTGTGACATACTCAAGCTATTAGATTGAGGATCCGGTTTCTATGCAGCCAACCGCGCATTTGTAGAAATGCAGGCCTCTTAATAAAAAAAAAAATTGGGATAGATTTAAGACTTAATTTTTAGGACATGCAATCTCTAACATGGAGATCATGAATATGAAATAAATAAATAAATTTTAAAACTTAAAAATAATAATTCTAGTAAGAAAACATTTGGACTATTAGTTTCCATGGTTTTTAGATGAAACACCTACTTGCAACCATCTTTAAGATGGATGCTTATGTAGAAATGAGGTTTAGCCCACATGGAACAATTTTCCTTAGATTAAACATTGGATGATTGTAAGTAATTGTTACCTCCTTGTATAAAATGTGAATGTTCTCATTGTATACATTTGCTTGTTAAAATGCCATATTCTCGATAATACCGTGTCGTATGATACGATGGATTCTGGGTTCAACCATTCTCTCATAGTCTAACCTGGAGATTTCTTTTCTGGAACTAGGAATGAGTTTTTCGGTTTTTATTCATTGTTTGGGAACTAAAATAATCAAACAACTTTAAAGACACTTAGAAGGAGCAAGGGGAGAAAGGCCATTATTACTTTTTTAAACATAAATTCCTCTCAAAACTTCTTTTTTATGTACATCCTCTTTTTTAATTCAAATTCGCCCGTATTTCAAACAAGGTAAGAATTTGAGTTTGAGGTTTCAACAACTTCATAATTTCAAAATCCGAATTATGTCACTGAGAAAGACCTCTCATATTAGATTGAAAGTTAAATTGTGGCTTAATAATAGATATGTCAGTTTAGGTGAGAGAAATCGATTATTTGGACCATTGGAATTTGTTCAAAATGCCTACACAATGTGACCCAGTCTTTTTTTTGGCATTTTTTTACCCCTCTTGTGAGCTAACTTGAAGATTTGTTATCATTTACTCAATATTGTCTTTCAAAAAATGTAGACATAATTATTTAGTCGTTTTACCAATTGCCTTGGTGTATTCCAATCCATGCTCCAAATTGCCAAATTGTAAGCCTTTTTGATTTGGCCATCTGATATTTTCTTTTGGACACGGTTTCTATGAGTCCACGGACTCACATGTAAATATACGGGCTC